TTCAATCAAACAGAGAGCTGACTTTCATCTGAGGCTTATAGAGTCACAACGAGTGTATGCAGAGAGCACATGAATGCAATTTGAAGCGTTAGTCTTGCGAGCGACTAATTTCAAGGGAAGTTGGGTGAATGATTAATGAATGAAATACGAACTCTTTCAGTCCATATTTACTGTATTGAAAAGTTTTTCGGATAATTGAACGGATCAAATTCTCAGCAGACACAAAAATCACACCGCTATTATCCAACTCTTACAAATCAAAAATTAACAGTGACTAGGAAATGGGAGGAATAGTGTTCTGAATTAACAAATAACTGATTGTGAGAAAATTTTCATCAAATTGGAGAGAAACGCATAAAAATGAAAAGGATGCGTGAGTGAGTGAATGAATCAGTGAATATACGTTTATCCGTTGAACCTTTCTATGTGAAAAATATAATGACACAATTTTTTTCTCATAAGTTTCTTGATTCAGCATCTCCAATCCAATGTAAATCCAATGTAAAGCATCAACTCCAATGCAAATTGGTAGTTCGAAAAGAATGCGGAAAAATACGCTGAAAGCAGAAAAAGCATACCGTATTATTGAGAAGTCGATCGTCGTTAGTGAAATTCATGGAAACTGTCTCAGAACCATCGGTGAAATTATGTTTTTTGAGTGAGCTGGGATCATTGGTTGTTTCTGTGTAGAAATACTCTTCCTGATCACGCTCTTCAATCTCAACATGTTCAGTTTGACCGTCCGATATGACACGTTTTTCTTGTCGACTTCGTGTGGCTGACACACGACTCGTGTCTTCAATCGTATCGTAATCGTAATCTGGTTTCATCACTTCAGAGGTGGCCATTTTCGAAGGTTACTCAGAATTTATTCAGTATTTTATGGATTAATCCGTTATTTAATTGAATCCTTGTCTGAGAATTATATCCGTATTATTGTTGAAATTAAGCTGAATGGAAGGACAAGCGAGTTGGAGGAGGAATAGCGAACAAGAGGCAAATTAGTAGTTTGAATCACGAATTCGGTGCAAAATGAAGGTCGCCGACGATTGCGACAAAAAACATAGAATAATTTTAGCCGTAACCAAGAAACAAGTCGTCCTCTCTCTCCCTCAGAAAAAAATACGCCAATTGAATCTCTTCAAAGGGATATTTGATCAATTCAAGTTCACTTTATAGCGAACAGTACTTTCAATAGTACGAATACAAACAGTATCAGTTGTAGCTATAATACTAGAATAGATTACAATTATACGAAGAAACTACGGAATTAAATGAATATTTATTGAATAATCTCCGAATAAACAATGTGGTATTGCTCAGCGAGAACAATAAGATGATGTAGTACGCAGAAGATATTGAAAAATTCGTATGATGGGAATGAGTTAATTTACTGAATTGACTGAATCGCTATTGTAATGAGGATACGAGCGATAAGAAGATGCGTATTTGGTTGGTGGTATGGAGAAGGATGTGTACAATGGTGAATGAATGCAGAATCGAAATAAAATATTTGCTGACTTATTCAAATCGAATAAATCAAGTCCATTCAAATCAGCAGTGTTGACGTAACGATGCTAATGTCAACATAAAAATAACTCTTCAGCTGCAAAAACGATTCACTGAACGACAGTAACAGTGACGAATGATTGACATACGGCTCATTCATATATAGGTAGATGTCTCGTCTCGTATTCAGATTATGTTCATTTCTCTATTCACATCCACATTCGCTTACTTCACTTTACAATTCTCGACTCGATCTGATCACTACTCTCGATTCGATCTCCTCACTCGCTCGCAATACTAAAATGAACGATAACGGTAACACTCACTACCTCGTCGTAACCACCTCAAAACTACACCTCTACAAATCGGAAACGAATGAATATTGTCGAAATCCTTGTCAAAGTCGTAAGCACTCAGTAGCAGTCTTCTTCTTCAACGCCTCTTCTTTCCTCGATGCACTCGCTCGCCACTTACTGCCCATCAAAAAATATTCATTAACATAAAATTTTTGTGTCACCAAGCCAATCCGCTACGCACTCTCGCTTGCTTATTTATCTGTTCATAACACAGCGAAGAGCCAACATTCATAATCTAATTCCAATCCATTTGTACACAACACCCCAGTCTCGAATACACCTCACCTCAATTGATACCAGTATGTTTCTTCTCTCATCCCTTTTCCCTTTCTCCTTTCCCATGCTTACTTCATCCCAACCAGCATATCTTAATCTAACTATTCAAGACGGATCACACCCTTTGATCAGCCTGGTCACACTTTCTTTCGCTTCTTGCTTTTTTGTCTCCCTTCCTGTCCGCAACCAAGCATTTGATCCAACTATATCTCGCTTAATCCAACCGCAATCCACTCTGCTTTCGTCGTTCTTCTTCCAGCTATAAGACCATGTTCTTTATTCACCTCTTGACTACCTCATCACCATCGAAGCCCATTACCTTCCTCCCCATCCGTTCTCAATATAAGACAAATTTCTTTCACTCCCTTTTTCGCTTTCCTCGAGACTACTCCACTCACAGCTATATATGAACTACCTGCTCAACTACCTACCTCCACAAGAAAATGATCACTCTCATCTCATTGTATCAGCGTTAACCTCTCGTCGCCATATTTATTGCCCCTTTTGCTGTCATCCCTTGGCATGGTCAACAAACGAGGAAATTTTCACAAGAAATTAATTAAATTCAAATGAAAGTCTCAACAAATTCCCTTCTAATTACTTGCCTGTGAATTGCAATTGATTTGTCAAGTGGTTCGCAATCGAACAATAATGAATCATGAACAACGCGTGTATCTGATCATTAATTAATTTTTATTTTATTCGTCCTAATTTTATTATCGATACTCACTCACATCAGCACTCCCTGTCATATTTTAGCACTAATCAATGCAATTTTCTCCATTCTCTCTCGACAATATATTCCTCTTCGCACACGTTTGCATGCATCATTCATGTTCCACATTCATCATTAAGAAGCCTCATCTATCGATCATCATTATTGAGTGCTGCTGCTGCATGCGCTCGTCACATAATTTCACGAAAATAACGATCGGCACAAGAGGTTTGGATGGAATGATGTGAGCGAAATGAAATGAGCCGTAGAATAATTGCTGATTATGCATATTTGCCTACTGCTAAAAACTAAATCAAAAACTTTGTCTCGTATTGTCTTGAGAATTCTCATTGCATTCACGATAACGACCGCTGATGAATTTTTGTTATGGTCTCAGATCAGACCACAGAAGCAGTATCCCTTTTACGCATATGTTCGGTAGGGAGCAAAGGCAGAATAATTGATCACTTGCATAGCGTCCTTTTTTCTCGCAATCCATTAATTCTTAAATCACATATTCACTCAGTCATGTTCTTCTCACGCTATACGTTGTTCTAGCTTGCCAAGAGATGAAAGCAACCACGAATCATACGGTAGCAAATGAAATTCGACAATATCTCGTGGTAAACAAAATTTGAATACAACGGCACTGAGATAATAAGATAGTCGGTGAAGTAGTGATGGATGTGCATAGAAATGGAAAGATAAGTTTTGTATGTTGTTCATTCATTTGGGTATTTATTTGGTTCGGTGATTGTTTACTTTGATGAAGCGGCATTCGTTGTTCACCAACTAATGCTAGCCATAAATTAGCATTCACTCCGGTCAACGAACAAAAAAATCATTTGCATTCATCCATCCACTTTGATTATTCACAATACGAAACGATAGAATCACGATAAATTCGAGGAATGATAATCGTCTCTGATAAAAACCATCGATCCCGTTGAATCGTTCAACCGAAAAACAACAACGTATGATAACAAGAGTGACACGTACTTTTGTATATGTGACGAAAAATTTCGTGATCA